TTATGAAGGAACCATAAAAGTGTCTTGTGAATGTTCAAATTATTCTCGTCTTACCTTCAGACTAGGGCAGCGTGCTATATACAATTCAGTTGTTTTTCTTTTTAAATGGAATCTCACTTTGGTGCCCAGGCAGAGTGCAGTGGAGCAATCTCAGCTCACTGCAACCTCCACCTCCCAGGTTCAAGTTCTCCTGCCTCAGCCTCCCAAGCAGCTGGGACTACAGGCACACACAATGATGCCTGGATAAATTTTATATTTTTAGTAGAGACAAGGTTTCACCATGTTGGTCAGGCTGGTCTCGAACTCCTGACCTTGTGATCTGCCCACCTTTGGCTCCCAAAGTGATGGGATTACAAGCATAAGCCACTTTGCACAGCTTTTTCGGTTTATTTTAATGTAAAACACGCAAAATGCATTCTAACAGTCACCTCCTCAGTTTGGCAATTATTATTTTAATTGTTATTTCAAAATATCAAACCTATAAATGTACTATTAGAAATGAAGAATCTTTCACGACCATTCCCTGAAGCTTTTCTTCAGTAGTATATTATTGTCAGAAAATACATAAGGTCTGAATCTTGACTTTTGAAGGATCAGTAATTGTTGCTCTCAAAATCAGGTTATGACCCAGGACAGCCACAGCCAGAGAACACTCACATAATAGCATCATAAGGCTCAATGCCACAATGATCTGGGAAGGGCAACTAGCCATAGGCACTGCTATTTGGTTCAGAGAAACACCAATTAATTCAACTTCTCTCTGATCCACTTAAAGAACTCAGCTTGAAATCAAACAAAGCCAACCTAAAAAAAAAAAAAGTCTAACACTTGAGGTATGTTGTGCGTTCTTTCAAGTAGACTATATTTTAAACTCTAGAACTCAGGGTCATAACTCTTGCATCTCTCTCTTTTCATAGAATTAGAGTTTGTCAAAGGCGTTAAAAATAAAATAAGTGTGAATGTCCTATGAGGGTTATAAGAAAGTTAAGAAGGAAAGTAAAGAAAGACTAAGCAGGCAAGACTTTTAGGTAAGAGTAATAATAACAACAATAATAAAAATGAAAGTTTTCATCCCCATCTTCATTGGTTCTCATTCTTCCTCTTGGAAACCAAATTTGCATGTGAGTTACATTTTAAAAAGAATGGCTGTTACAAATTTCACATTCATATTTTGAGTAAAAATACTGATGGAATTAAAATCTAATTTAAAAATTGATTTTTAAATATTTACAAAATCCTAAGAATCTCTCTGTTTCCTAAATTCCTATCAAAGATAATGCCGTATTAATGACTTCTCCATCATGCTATTAGAAACATACATATGACAATATCATGCATTAATAGTTATACTCTAAGACCACTTCCTAGAAATTAAATTGTTTTCCTCATCAGACACAATGTCGCGTTTCCTCTAAACTCCAAGTGATTCCTGAGAGTAGGATTAAGTTCTACAGTGCTGCTACCCTTCTAGCTGAAGTATTTCTACTCTGTAGCCCCAGACTGGAAATCCAAACACAAAGAAAGAAGATGAATGGTATTGTGATCTCACTGAGTTTGGGAAACAGATTATAGGTAAGGGAGGCTGAGCTGGCTAGAATTTGCAGATCTCACCAAATGAAGCAAAACTGGGAACACATTTAGGAAATTGGTGTGAGGTAACCTTGAGTCTTCGGTGGAATACTAGGCTGAGCACTGGGAAGGAGAATTTCCACAAGGCCAGACAATGAAAACCTATGAGGAGCTATAATCACAGAAATACCTGAAGGTCAGAAAGGAATGGTAGGGATTTTAGTGCCAACTAAGCAGACTGGGGAAAGCATATTGAAGTTCAAAGCAATTCAATAGAATCTGCAGAAAATTTATTTCTTCACAGTAAAGCCAAACTAACCAAAAAGGAAAATCTATGTCTCCAAAACAAACATCAAAAACAAGTATTTGAAAGGCTGAAGATAAACAGGTAACTTAACTGGCTGTCAAAACAAAAACTGACACATTTTAAAGGAAGATTATACCAGCCAGGCATTTAATAGCTAACATTTGCCAAGTCCAGCTCTCAATAAATTAGAAAAAAATTATATGGAAAACCTCAAATATCTTGAATAACTCACTTATAATAAAATGACTCAGTAAATAAGCAATATAATGAAATTTTAGTGTGATTAAGGGAATCTATTCAATACCAACAGCTAACATCATATGCAGCTGAATGAGGTAACACTTTCCCCCTATGATGATGAATAAGCCAACTATAATCCCTCTCACAACTTCAATTCAACGTTAGAAAAGATGCCACAGCACACATAATAAGTGGAAAAAACATAAGACGTTCATCTTAGAAAGAAAGAGAAAACCCCTCTGTTAATTCACACACACACACACACACACACACACACACACAAAACATTACTAAAAACAGGTTAGGTTTCCTAGGAACTAGATTCTTAAATGGATTTTAGTATGCAGAAATTTTTTGAGGAAACAGCTCTCAAATCAATAAATGTGAAGGGGGTTTTCAGGGAGCACCACTAGGTAAAAGGAGAAACTATCCTGAGATTTAAAAAAAAAAATTAAAAAGACACGAGAAACTCCATGGGATTGGCAGAGTTAAAATGCCATTTTATAGTTAAGACAAGGTGAAAAGACTTTTGTACTGCCCCAGGACGGAGTTTGCCTTTAAGCAAATTGACTGATTTTAGCTGAGACAATGCCTGAAAGGATTTGTGTGAGTTGGCCAACTAATCGGTGTCCACAGATTAAGGATAAAACATCCAAAGTTATCTATAGAAAATGACTAGAACTACTGAACGTGAACTTAGCTAAGTCAAGTGATACATGATTTATATATAGGCATCAACTGTTTTGCTATATACTAGCAATTAACAATTTAGAACATAAAATATCCAAAATGCTATTCAGAATTAGGAAATATTTAGGTATATATTTTGAAAAGTGTATGCAAAATACCTACACAGAAAGCTATATATTTTTCCTAGAAAAAATTAAAGAACTACTAAATGTAGAAATATATCATGTAAATAGATGGAAAATCTTAATAATATTGTCAGTTTTTTTCTCCAAATGATTTATAGATTCAACACAACCCCAATCAAAATCCAAACAGACGTTATTTCTTTTTACATTTGACAAATGATTCTGAAATTTGTATAGCAATGGAAACAATATAAAATAACCAAAACAATTCTGGAAAAACAAATGGGAAGACTGGCATTGTCTGATTTAAACAGTTAACCTAAGATCATAGGAATCAAGAGAGTTAGGTTTTGGCATACGAATATATATGTAAATTAAATATATAGAATTCAAAAAAAGATCCACAAATGTATGATAGTTGATGTCTATTTAGCAAAATACTAGCATAAAAAATGGAGAAATGATCAACTTTACAGATAATGGTTTAAATATTGGATGTATTTGTGGGGAAATTAATCTCAAACTTCATCTCACAGTATTTAAATTGAAATAAATTATAGACCTAAACACAAAACCAAAAACTGTAAAATCTCTACATGAAATTATATGAGAAAATCTCTTTGACCTTTAGTTTGGTAAACATCTCTTACATGGAACACGACAAATAAAAACCTAAAATAACTCCTCAACAAGTTAGACATTTTTAAAACTTTAAATTTAAAACAACAAACAACAAGATTTAAAACTTCTGCTTTGTAAAAGACACCATAAACACAGGGGATTAAAAAAGGCCAGAGACTGGGAGAAATTATTTTCATCATATGTATTTTACACTGTACTCATATTCAGATTATGTAAATAACTCACAACTCAATAAGAAGACAATCAAAACTTTTTTAATGTACAACTTGAATAAAATGTTCCACAAGTATTTGAAAAAAAAAATGATTAGCAATGTAAGTCATCGAGAAAATATAAAAACCACAGTGAAATACCAGTATACACCAAACAGACTGACATAGGTGTCCAAATTAGAGAAAGCATTTTTAAATATTTAGAGTATGTTGTACATTGACAAAATTATTTTTATGTTGACTGAATCTAATACTAACAAAATAGAATTTGTTGCTTGCATGTCATTGTATTTTTCACTTATATTTAGTAATTTATTTTCACTGTAATTCAGAAATGTACAGATTTCTTAGAGTTTAGAAATTTTTTAAATGGTCCCCATCACAGAAATTTTGAGGAACTCTGTTCTAAGGAATTGAAATAAGGTATTTAGCCCACACAGTACACTAGCAAGATGACCCCAGTAGTAATAACCAGGAAGCTAAAGAAATGTACTCTGTGTAGACCTGGCCTAGTCTTTAATGTCCCAATACCCACTGGACTTCCCATGAAGACAGAAACCACAAAGTATTGCTTTAACGATCATGTTTTTCCCCATCCATATGTTAATACACTTTATGCATATATGACAGGTTAAGATTGCACAAAATGTGTACATCTAATTTCCTGTGAGAGGAAGTTTAGAAACAGAAAATATGGCTAACCATTGCATGATGCAAATATGAAGACAAAATTTCATGCTGATACTCCATATGGCCACGACTTTCCAAAACATAATACATAGTCCTTTTTTCCCTTATAAACTGCTACATTAGTACCCTTGTTGCTTAGCTTTAAATAGCATGTCTGCTTTGTGTGCTGTGATGATCAGACTTCAATAACTGAAGAAAGAACAACATAAACCAAAATAACGCATTAATTATAAAATGTGAACTTTTTAGGCAAAGAGGACTGTGAATTGAGAATCTGTACACTTGTTTCCCTTCAGTGCAAAGCTAAAACAAATCTCTTGTTGGACTATAGTTTCATTTACTACATATTTTTTTTACTGAAGGAGCAGCACCAATTTCACACAGACATACACAGTTTGACTGCAGTGTGCTCTGGGATCGTATGTTAGACTTAATGGAGTGTGTGATAAATGTTATTTATATATTTTTCTTTCTATTGCATATAGACTAAAATAGCGCAGAAAACTAATGAAACGTAGAGAATTATTTTATCCCCATCTGCTTTTATTAAATGATTAATAATAATTAGACAAAATGAAGTCTAACAATTATATAGAATGAATAAGTTCACATAAGGATTTTGCCTTTAAATTTTCTTTGTAGCCTAAATTCTTAGCACAGAAGGAAGTGAAAGACAATGTACTTTTTTTCATGTCTAGCAGAGACTCAGAAGATTTAGGAGCTTATGTATAGAGTTATCTTGAAAACTTTCCCACTATCATGGAAAACTTAAATCTATATTAAAAAAACTTTTGTGAGTCTTGCTTTGCAAATAGAATCTGGAAAGGAAATAAATCTGTAAAAATTTTATGATTCTTTTCCCTACAGCCCCCAACACGAAAGAAACTTAATCTGTCAGTGCAGTAGTAAAAATTTTCTGAAGAGTCAGACATATGGGTTAACTTTAAAATAGAGTTTTTGTTCTTCTATGCCAGTAACTATTTTCCCTATAAAGCATCAGTTGCAGAATCTAACATTCCTCCCAAATACTTGATTGAAAATTCATACTTATTAGCAAAACCACAGTTACTTTTGGACCAAACTAATATAAAGTGGTAAAATATTTATATAAAATTAAACTTTCTGAAAAAAATCCAAACCAATATATGTGGGTAAAGTGTTAGTTTTTCTGCACGTGTTTGTTCTCACTACTTTGCAATGGAGGTTGTATTTGGCCAATACACTATTGTATTAATCTTTTGAATAATAATTCTATCTATGAAGCACTAAAATTTATCTTAATTATAGAATTTTTGTTTTCCATTGTTAAGATATTATATAACACTAAGGCATTGAATAAAACAAGTAACTCAAATATTTTTGTTTATTTACACACAATATTTTACTCCATGGAAGATTCCAGTGCAGTATATCATCAGGCATCATGCTTCCCTTGTCACTACTATCATCTTCTATAAAAAAATCATATTATTTGCTACACAGAATTGTTGCAAGAATTAAATGATCTTGAAAACACTGTTCATACTAAATGCTACGTAAGTGTTTTCTGGTATTATTAATATCATCACCATTCGGGTCATGAAGAAAGTACCTTAGATTAATTACATACCTATTCAATCTTTATAAATTTGCCAAGCCCTTTTTTTTTTTAATTTTGAATCTTCTATAAATCTTGAATCCATGTTTTAGTTCTCTGAACTACTGTGGCTTCCTTGATGTTGTCTTCCTGGTTTAGTCTCAGCTACCCTTGTTCTGTTTTTGTTTCTCTGTTTTTACTGTCTTGAGAGTTCTTAATGAAAAAAACTTTTTCTTAACTTTCTTGAACAATTACATACAGACAAAAAAGCGCTGTGGTTTGAATGCTTTTGTCTCCCTTAAATTTCATGTGTTAGACTTGATCCCTAATCCAATGGTCTTAGAATTTGGGACCTAAGAATAAGAGTTTAGCTCACAAGGGCTTTGGCTGAATGGAATAATGCTATTATAAAATGGGCTTGTGGCTAGATGCAGTAGATCATGCCTATAATCCATGCATTTTGGAAGGCTCAGGCAGGTAGATCGCTTGAGCCAGGGAGTTTGAGACCAGCCTGGCTAACAGGGTAAAAGCCATTCTCCAGCAAAAAACAAACAAAAATTAGACAAGCATGGTGGTAGTCGTTCCCTGTAGTTCCAGGTACTCGGAGGCTGAGGTGGGATGATCACTTGAGCAGAGGAAGCAGAGGTTACAGTGAGAAGCAATTGTGCCACTGCACTTGAACCTCCAGGGTGACCAAGTGAGACCTTGTCTCAAAAACAAACAAACAAAACAAAATAAAATTGGGCTTGCAAGAGTGGGTTCATTTATCTTTCTCTTCTGCTATGTGAGGAACACTATTCCTGTAATCTGGGGAATGCAGCACTCAAGCCACCATCTTGTAAGTGAATAGCAGGCCCTCAGCAGCACAAAACCTGCCAGTGCCATGATCTTGGATCTTACCATCTTCAGAAATGTGAGACATAAGTTTTTACTCTTCATAAATTACCCAAGCTCAGGTATTCTGGTATAGCAGCACAAAAAACAAGACAAAAGCTGTGTGGGCCTGCATGAGAACTTCAATTACTTCCCATTCTCTAAACAAAACATAGAAATTGGAGATATGCAGAGGGACACACACACACACACACACACACCCCTAGTCTTATTTCTTTTCTTTTTTTTGTTGTTATACTTTAACTTCTGGGGTACATGTGCAGATCATGCAGCATTGTTACATATGCATACACATGCCATGGTGGTTTTCTGCAATGATCCCTCTGTCACCTACATTAGGTGTTTCTCCTAATGTTATCCCTCCCCAATCTCCCAACCCTCTACTATCCCTCTCCTAACCCCTAACGCCCAACAGACCCTAGTGTTTGATGTTCCCCTTCCTGTGTCCATGTGTTCTTATTGTTCAACATCCACTTATGAGTGAGAACATACAGTGTGTGGTTTTCTATTCTTGTGTCAGTTTGCTGAGAGTGATAGTTTCCAGATTCATTCATGTCCCTACAAAGGACATGAACTCATATTTTTTATGGCTGCATAGTATTTCATGGTGTATATGTGCCACATTTTCTTTATCCAGTCTACCATTGATGAACATTTGGGTTGGTTCCAAGTCTTTGTTATTGTAAACAGTGCCACAATAAACATACAGGTGCATGTGTCTTTATAATAGAACAATTTATAATCCTATGGATATATACCCAGTAATGGAATTGCTGGGTCAAATGGAATTTGTATTTCTAGATCCTTGAGGAATCACCACACTGTCTTCCACAATGCTTGAACTAATTTATACTCCCACCAACAATGTAAAATTATTCCTTTTTCTCCACATCCTCTCCATCATCTGTTGTCTCCAGATTTTTTTAATGATCATCATTCTAACTGGTGTGAGATGGTATCTCAATGTGGTTTTGATTTTCATCTCTCTAATGACCAGTGAAGATGAGCTTTTTTTCATATGTTTGTTGGCCACATAAATGTCTTCTTTTGAAAAGTATCTGTTCATACACATCATCTTGTTTTTTTCTTGTAAATTTGCTGTAGTTCTTTGTAGATTCTGGATATGAGCCCTTTGTCCAATGGGCACCTTGCAAAATTTTTTCACATTGCTTGCTGGTTCACGCTAATTATTTCTTTTGCTGTGCAGAAGCTCCTAAGTTTAATTAAATCTCATTTGTCTATTTTGGTTTTGGTTGCCATTGCTTTTGATGTTTTAGTCATAAAGTTCTTGTCTATGACTATGTCCTGAATGAGACTGCCTAGGTTTTCTTCTAGAGTTTTTATGGTGTTAAGTCTTATCTTTAAATCTTTAATCTATCTGGAGTTAATTTTTGTATAAGGTTGAGGGAATGTATTCTCTTCCCAAGTCCACAAGGGGGCATAGATTCAAAGGTAAGAACTTCCAAGCACCATACCTCCACCCATGTTTCCATCTGGGGACTAGAGGTCTTTGCATAAACTTTTGCCCACATGAGAAAATATCAAAGATCAATCACTCCTGCTGAAGTTTAAAGGAACTCCTTTCATAGGCTGGGAAACTTAAAGGGGGTGGGAAGACCTCTCAGGGTAAAAGTCCCTGACCCCACATCCAGGTGAACTCCGTATCTGGAAGTTCAACAACCTCATGAAAGTTGCTTTTCTTTCTATTTATGGATTTTTCTCTCTTTCTGACTAAATAAATCACTTTCTGTGATATTTACTTACAAGTGCACTGCGCCCAGAGGTGTACTCTCATTCTTGGGTGAGTAAGGGACCAAGATCCTGGAAGAAAATAGCCCACCGGGGAGTGAGCTGGGTCTCCCCCTGGTATTAGTCCGGGAACCGGCTGCAGTTTGACAAAACAGCCAGGAGGAGCTAGGACATAAAAACTGTTACTTCGGAGGTGGTAGGTGAGTGGGACCCCTCTCACATGCAATCTGTCCTGTCACTTTAAGGAAACCATGCCAGCCTGCGAAGGCAGAGCCCAGCAGGGCCTGGTTGCTGATTCATGCCACAGCCTGTTTTTAAGGGGTGAAGGCCAGACAGATGCAAAGGTGTAGTTCTTTTTTCCAAACTCTCTCTCTCTCTCTCTCTCAAAATCTGGGAGGAACCAGCCATGTTTTCCCGATATGTGTCCTGGCAGCTGGGCTCCCGCTGAGAGGGAAGGAGTGGGCAGGCACTCTCCCTGGGCCTCCTTTCGCTCACCGGCCCTTATGTCCTGTCCAGGAACTGGGACCGCAGGACTGCTGCTCGTGGTCCAGGAACTGGGGCCTGCATGGAATCTGAAGCGAAGTGGCCTGGTCCCCCCCCCCCTCACAGGGCTTTCCCTTCCCTGCACCACTGCAGGGTGCAGTATTTTCATTCATGAGAGGCTTAAGGAAGTTCTCCGGTATGCTTTTGGAAGAAACTGCCTGTTAGCACTGTGGGTTAAGGTGTAGGACCCATAGCTGCTGGGTCACTGGTTCAAGTATCTGCTGGAAACAGTCTTGAACAGCGGAAACCTTTTGGGGAATCCAGAAGCTGAAGGCTATGGGACTTTGTTTTTCGTGTATGATTTGTCTTCCTCAGGATTGACTCTCTCTATGGCAGAACTTCTCCATCTAGAAGATCATAGTCAAATTGGATCCTAGAATTTTCCTACCATGGAAAATGGGGTGGGAAGGAGGTCTGGGTCCTGAGGGCATTGTTCCAGCCTCAGCCGTACAGCCCTATCTTCTTTGAATTGTGTACTTTGTGGCCCCTCGCTAGAAATTTACCCTCCTAGAGTAGTTTTATAGTCAGTTCTGTGTATATCGGGCTTTTGCCAGATAATATTAGTACCCATCTCACAAGCCTCACTGGCCTGGTTCAGGGACACTTTGGTATCAACCACCCATCCCAGCAGTCCACATATCTTTATGCGGTCACTAAAGGCATGCAGACAGTGAGCATGCATGCAGACAGTGAGCATGAGTACTCATGGTGCTGGTATCGTGATTAAGCTCAGCACATGGGAGGCCCCAAAGATGATCACGCATCTTGGGCGTATGGAAATTGGGAGGTACTGACTGGGGCACTCCCCAGATCCTACACTTTATCTGAGAGAGGCCTCAGATAGAGTGATTGCAATTAATAAACAGGGATGTGGGCATCCCTTGTGTTCTATTTCAAATGGGTGCTACTTTTCCCAAAATAAAATCACCATTAAAATGTATACTGGAGAACTGGGACCAATGTAACACATAATCTTTGAAGAAGAAGAAGCTCATTTTTCTCTGCCAAACAGCATGGCCAAAATACACCCTGCCAAGTAGAAAAACCTGGCCTCCTAACAGGATTATAGATTATGACACTATTTTACAATTAGACCTCTTTCGTAAAAGTGAGGGTAAATGGTTTGAGGTTCACTTTGTGCAACTTTTCTTTTCTCTAAGCAGTAAGTCTCAGCTCTGTCAGGCCTGTTCCCTATACCTTATTCAGCCCTCCTCAGGACTACCTCAACATTTGGGACTCCCTGTGGCTACTACCTCCGTCAATGCCAACCAGGGCTCCTCAGCCCCTATATCCCAATAGGATCTAGGGAAGGCTGAGATGGCCAAGGCATCTCAGGCTACTAGGATACCCAGATTCTTCCCCCTACAGGCAGTAGGAAGAGAATTTGGCCCAACCAAGGTGCATACACGCTTCTCACTTTCTGACTTAAAGCAAATTAAGGTGGACTTATGAAAGTTTTCAGATGACCCAGACAAGTAGACAAATGTTCTGCAGGGTCTGGGTCAGTCCTTTGAATTAGACTGGAAAGATATCATGCTATTGTTTAATCAAACTCTAACCAGCAATGAGAGAGTGGCTGCTCTAGCAGTGCTCAAGAGTTTGGGGACACCTGGTACCTTAGTCAAATACATGATCTAATGACACCAGAGGAAAATGATAGCTTTCCTACAGGTAAACAAGCAGTCCCTGGTATGGAACCTAGCTGGGATCCTGATTCAGAATAGGGGGACTGGAGCCGTAGGCATTTCTTAACCTGCATACCTGAGGGATTAAGGCAAACTACGAAGAAGCCCATGAGCTATGCAATGTTATCTGCCATAACTCAGGGAAAGGAAGAAAACCCAACAGCTTTCCTTGAGCGATTATAGGAGGCCTTAAAAAAATATATTCCCTTGTCAACAGACTCCGTTGAGGGTCAGTTAATACAAAAGGACTAGTTTATTATGCAGTCAGCAGCAGATATTAGGAGGAGGCTACAGAAGTAGGCCTTGGGCCAGAACAGAGTCTAGAATCATTACTGAACCTGACAACCTTAGCATTTGATAATAGAGACCGGGAAATAGGCTGAAAGAAACAGGAGAGACCAGAGAAAAGCTGCTGCCTTAGTCACGGCCCTGAGGCAAAAAGACCCAAGGGGCTCAAATGAGGGAAAGGCTTGGGTTAGCCACCAGTCTGTCAGAGCTTGCTACCAGTGAGGTCTGAGGGGCATTTTATAAGACATTGTCCCCAGAGGAATGGACTACCACCTCATCCTTGCCAACTATGCCAAGGGGATCACTGTCCCAGGGGATGAATGTTCCCAGGGCCTGAGGTGTCTAACCAGATGACCCAACTGCAGGACTGAGGGTGCCCGGGGCAAGTGCTAGCACAAGCCAGCACCCTCACAGGGCTGGGTAAAGCTAATCATAAACGGCCAGGAGGTTTATTTCGTCCTGAACACTGGCATAGACTTCTTCATATTACTTTTCTGTCCTGAACAGTTTCCTCTAAGTCTTTAACTATCTGAGGAGTCCTAGAACAAGCAATCTCCCGATATTTCTCTCAGCCCCTAGGAAATGCTTTATGGACAGCCCTTTCTTACTAAAAATCTTATATTAGACAATAAAACAGCAGATTTAATAAAAGATATAAGCTCCTTGGGTGAGTACCAACAGGCTTTTAAAACTTTACCTGAAGGACACCCTAGGGAAAAAGGGAAAGAGTTGTTCTGCCCTGGGGACTTGGTGCTTGTTAACTCTCTCCCCTCAGACTCTCCTTCTCTAGGCCCATATGGGGAAGGACCATTTTCAGCTATTCTGTCTAACCTAACAGCAGTTAGGGTGATGGAAATTGACTCATGGATTCATCACGCTCAGCTGAAGCCTTGGACACCTCCTGAAGAAAGTAATAAACCCTCCACTCTGCAGCCTGAAGTTCCAGGAGACGACCCTTCCTACACCTGCGAGCCATTAGAGGATCTGCATCTGCTCTCTGACAAGATCCCCGGGAAAGTAACTATTCATAAGTCTAATTTATATCCTGGCATTAACAGGACTATAACTCTTAACTTTGCTATCTCTCAAACTCCAATTATCCTTTCACAAAAGGGTGGGGGACGAAATAATAGAAAACTTGGTACTGGCATTAGAAAAGTTACTGCCTCTATTCAGTTACTATAAGCTAATCTTAGGAGTTAATTAATAACATAAAAGATTGCTAATTCTCGCTGCAAAGGCAGCTCACTGCAAAACAGCTTAATTCTTTAGCTGCCATAGCTCTTCAAGGTAGAAGGGCCTTAAATCTGCTAAAAACAATCCTGGCCAACATGGTGAAACTCCGCCTCTTCTAAAAATACAAAAAATTAGCTGGGCGTGGTGGTGCACTCCTGTAGTCCCAGGTACTCAGGAGGCTGAGACAGGAGAATTACTTGAACCCAGGAGGCAGAGGTTGCAGTGAGCCGAGATCACACCACTGTACTCCAGCCTGGCGCCTGGCGACGGAACAAGACTCTGTCTCAAAAAAAAAAAAAAAAAAAAAATCTGCTAAAAACAGAGAGAGAGGGAACCTGTCCGTTTGTAGAAAGAAATGCTGCTACTTTGTAAACCCATTAAGTGTTGTTTCAAACAAAGTTAAAGAACTCAGGAATTAATCAAACACAGGGATAAAAAACTTAAAGAAATAGTATCCTGGAGCTTGGTTAACAACTGGCCATCCTGGCTATATCCTCTCCTAGGCCTATTTATAATCATTCTATAATTTTTGGCCTCTGGGCTTGTCATCTTTAACCTTCTTATTACATTTGTTTCTTCAAGAACCATAGGGCCACAGATAATCCTGCCTTGGAACCCTGGATGTCCTTGGCTCATGAGCTCTACTGTGGATCTCAGGATCAACCTGCACCCCTGAAAGTCTCTCCTCTGGAGGAAACCTCAACTGCAGGGCCCCTTCTATGCCCACTTTCAACAGGAAGTAGCTAAAGAGTGATCGACACCCATGTGTCCCAACAGCAGTTGGGCTTTCCTGTTAAGAGGAGGGAGTAAAGGAATGTAATCTCCTCCTGGATCCATAAGGGTATGTAGTTTCAAAGGCAAGAACTTCCCAGCATGATACCTCCACCCATGTCTCCATCCAGGGACTAGAGGTCTTTGTTTAATCTTTCCCACATTTGGGAAAATATCAAAGATCAATCACTCCAGGGGAAGTTTAAAGGAACCCCTTTCATAGGCTGGGAAACTTAAAGGGAATGGGAAGAGCTCCCAGGTTAAAGGTCCCTGTCCCTGACATCTGGGCAGACTCCATATCTGGATCCCCTTCCATGACCTCGTGGAAACTGCTTTTATCTCTACCCATTTCTTTCTCCTTTTTCTCTCTCTCTCTGCCTAAATAAATCACTTTCTGCAAAACACTTAGGAGTCTGATATTTACTCATGTGCACACCGTGCTTGGCAGGGTCGTCTCTCCCATTCTTGGGTGAGTGAGGGACCAGAAGTCTGAAAGAAAACAGTCAACTGGGGGAGTGACCTGAGCCTCCCCAGGGTCCTGGAACCTGGCCACAAGATGTAAGTAAGGGGTCCAGTTGCTTTCTGCATATGGCTAGCTAGTTTTCCCAACACCATTTATTAAGTAGGGAATCCTTTCCCCATTGCTTGTTTTTTTCACGTTTGTCAAAGATCAGGTGTGTAGCATTACTTCCAAGGCCTCTGTTCTGTTCCATTGGTTTATATCTCTTGTTTTGGTACCAGTACCTGCTGTTTTGATTACTGTAGCCTTGTAGTATAGTTTGAAGTCAGGTAGTGTGATACCTCCAGCTTTGTTCCTTTTGCTTAGGATTATCTTGGTTATGCAGACCCTTTTTTGGTTCCATATGAAATTAAGGTGTTTTTTTCCAGTTCTGTGAAGAAGGTCAGTGGGATCTTGATGGGAATAGCATTGAATCTATAAATTATTTTGGGAAATATGGCCATTTTCATGATATTGATTCTTCCTAACCATGAGCATGGAATATTTTTACATCTGTTTGTGTCCTCTCGTATTTCCTTGTGCAATGGTTTGTAGCTCTCCTTGAAGAGGTCCTTCATGTCCTTTGTTAATTATATTCCTAGGTATTTTATTCTCTTTGTAGCAATTGTGAATGGCAGTTCACTCATGATTTGGCAACTTCAGCAAAGTCTCAGGATACAAAATCAATGTGCAAAAATCACAAGCATTACTGTATACCAATAACAGACCCCTAGTCAAATTTCTAATTCAATTTAATACGCAATTGTTGAATGAGTGTTAAATGCCAGAAACATAGGTGGGTAATACACTTTCTAGAACAATCACATATAGATTACTATAAGCAAATATTCAAGTTCTCATGTATATTAACATGTACATGTAAATTATTATGAGAACTTGAATACTCTGCTTATAGTTGTATAGGTCTTAGTTTCCTCTTTTGTAGGTAACTGAATGGCAAAAATAGTACCTATCATATGAAATGCCTCTGAAAAGTAAATATGAAGATAGGGTTGCTCTCAGGCAATTGAGTGTTGAGAGAGCTGAATATTAAACATGTAAAAATTTATCACTAAAGTGAACCAAGTATCATATACACTCATAGCAAGTCAGAAAAACAATTCTAAAAAAACTTGAAGCCAGAATAGCTTAGATCAAGGTATTTCATACATGGATTAAAAATACCAAAATTGCAAATCTATCAATCATGAAAGCTTAACAAGTCACTAGATGTGGTTACTAAAAATTAAACATATATGACCCACCTTAAGAAAGACACAAGTCAAAACAACTTAACATGTTTCAATATTAAACTGAAATTACTTTTTATTATCCTTTGAACATATAGCTTATTATTGTACATATAGCTTATTGTATACAAAATTTTATCATTGTATTTGTAGCTTACTTTATAAAAAATCTTTACATTACTAAAAACATAATTAATGTATATATTTTTAAAATTTATACAAAAGTTTCACCATTCCATAATTATTGCTGCATATATTAAAGCTGGAATTTTATACATTGTTGTCAAATTCATTCAACAGTCATTAAATATTTGAGTAATTCACATTTGCTTGATACTGAGGTTAAAATTAGAAAATCACAGACTAGATCTTTTAACACACTGAGCTTATAGTTCAGTTGGCAGAAGAAGAAAAGGAGCAAACAATAAAGTGTGATGAGGACCACAAAAGAAGTGCAGAGGGTGATATGATATTACTAGTGTAAGTTTGAAAGTTATAGTCCTAGAAACCCTCTCAGAAAGTGATAGATGAGCTGAGGTGTCAACAACAAGTGAGATCTAGCTGTACACAGATATAGGAGTTGCTTGTTGTAAGAAGAGCAAACACAAGAGCCAAATTTGGGGGCAGGAATAAGACTGACATGTTCTGAGAACCAAAAGGATTAAAATACCTTGCTGGTATTGCTGGAAATTAGAGAACAACAGAGAATGAATGTGCCAGGAAAGAAAAAAAAGTAGAAACCATATTTCCTAGAACTTCACAGGCTATGTTGGGAGTATGAATTTTATCTGATGAATAATGTGAAGATATTGGAATCACCCAAATGAAAAATTCCAATAAAAGATTATAAATTAGTTTAGTAATCATGCCTATTTATACATTTATCAACCAAATATGTAGTATTAAGTGTAAAGCACAGTGGAAATTTGATTATCTGTAATGAGGCATGTTTTGTTATATTGTAGCAAAAAGATATTACAGGTTTACCTTCTGCTACTTAATACTGCAGCAATGATATTGAATACTTAAACCTTGCAGAGAGGCAGACAAAAACCCTTAGATACTCAGTTAGAATACAATATTGTGTTGGGCTATGGGACAGAAGTGAGACATTAACTAACATCCTTCATAAAGATCAATATTATTCTGTTTTTCTGCTTTTTATTACCAACTCTTTCCTCTTATTGATATTTTTGTTTTGAAAGAGGGTCTCACTCTGTCATCTAGGCTAGAGTGACATGGTGTGACCAAGACTTTAAGTCATCTAAGACTAAACACATTTAGTTCAAAAGGGAGACCAGATAATTTTGTCAGTTACAGGAAACAATGTGCTGAATTTTCAATTAATTTGAAACCAATAAAGAAGCTTCTATATTTCAGTATCACTTGTGACAATAAACAGGTTATTTTCTGGCTGAAAAACATCTCCAATCCAACCCCCTATTCAATACAACCATTAATAAGGACATACAAAACTAGTTCACATACTTTCCAGCTTTTATTTCCAAATTCTATGTGATGGCTTAATGCTTAACTTCAACAAACCAATATTTTAACATATTAATACATATATATTTAAACTTATATTTATATGCTTTTGAAAGTTTAACT